CAGCCCTTTTGTTTTCATTGTTTGGACACAGGTCTTGCTAGGTCACTAAGTTGCCCAGGCTGTGCTTGCATTTGCGGTCCTCCCGCCTCCATCTCCTAGAGTACTAAAATTATAGGCTCTCCCCACCATACTAGCCCAGAACCAAAAACCAAGCACGGAGGCCCACAGGAAGATTCCACAGCCTGATTCATGTGACAGGTGGTAGCCAAAACATGTGCACACTAACATATTTTAGTCACCCTCAAGCTGTGTATATAAGGTACACATGAAACCTAAATAGATGTCTTCTAGACCCTCATCCCGTCCCCTCGATATCTCGTTATATATCTGCAGATAGTCCAAACTTCAAAAATAACAAACCCCACATCTGAAATGCTCCTGGTCCCAAGCATTTCAGATAAGGAATATTCAACTGTACATGTTTTGCTTATTATTTGTGCCCTCATTCAGTTTTAGAGGATGAAGGCAAATAGAACTGTGTTGCCTTGTTCAGCTCCGGAGAAGTTAAAACACATGCTATGTATTTCTTCGAGGCACAGTGGCTTGAATTGACCTGGAATTAAAAGTGTTGACTGCTCAAGACTGTAATTAAACTATGGCAGGGACACAGCAAGCCCAGTGCTGGCACCTGCAGCAGCAGCCCCAGAACCATTTTGAGGTTGCTGGCCAGTTCCTTAGAACGTTTTATTTATTTTATTTTATTTATGTATTTGGTAAGGGGCTCACTATGCAGCTCAAACTCATAGTGATCATCCTGTTTTCAGCCTCCCCAGCGCTAGGATTAGAAGGGTGCACCACCACGCCCAGCCTGGGTGGTTGGCTCAGTGTGCCCAGGAGTGGGGCTGGCATGGCTTGTGGTACCGAGGATTGAACCCCGATCCCTGCACTTGCCTAAGCAGGTGCTTAGCTATCTGCTAAGCTATCTCACTGGCCCTAGAACCTGTTTTTGAAGTGGCTAACTACCACTTACCTGCTATTAAACCTGTTTGATTGGGAGGAATGAAACCTTTAAATTCTTCCCAGTTCCAAAGAAGGTGAGAACTGTTTACCTAGCCAGCCCTGTTCAATTCAGAAAGAACATTACTTGCTGTCATTATGGAGTCCTGACTCTAGGCTAGGAGGAATGGAATAAACACCACCTCAACGCATTCTCACAGTGAACCTATCAGATGGCTAGAGCCACTGTGCTGATTTTACAGCCCTGTCTCTGATCTTGTGGCTCTTGGGGACAGGACCTTCCCTGATGTCCTCTGGGCCTGCTGGCCACACTTGTACCTGCATACTTAGTCATCCACATCCCTGACCCTTCCTTATTTTTCATAAATTCATCACTGTGAGATGCACTATAGAATAGTAGGATTTACTGTTCATTCCTGTTATAAATATATTATCAAAATGCTGCATATTATATAATTATTAGTTGGTTGCAGACCCTGCCTGTCCTGTCTGCTCAGGCTGCTGTAATAAGACACCGTAGACTGAGTGGTTTATAAACAATAGCAATTTATTTCTCATAGTTTGGGAGGTTGGGAGGCTGAGGATCAAGGCACAGAGAGATTCAGTGTTGTTCACGAGGAAAGGCGGCTCTTGGGGTTTTTCTAGAGGCATCTGTCACACACAGCGTAGCTGGGTCCTTTGCAACAAAGTGAAGATTGTAATAATGCCGGTTACACTTTTTTTTTGTTTTCCCAGTGTATAGAAAATTTATTATAGTACTGTATCCTACTGAGTGTGCAGTAGCAGAATGTTAAAAAATGTAGTCCTTGCCTGGTGTGTTGGTGCACAACTGTAACCCCAACACTCAGGGGAGGCTGAGGCAAGAGGATCCCTGCGAATTTGAGGCCAGCCTGGGTCACAAAGTGAGTTCAAGCCAGCATGAACTGCATAGTGAGACCCTGTCTCAAGAAGACACCCCCCAAAAAAAATACACACTTTATTTTAAAAGTACTACGTTGATAAGATCAAGCTAATTAGCATCTGAGCCTTTGGTGGGTCATAATCCCTTTGCCCACAGAGTCTCGCCACTGCTGCTAGTTCAGGGTGTGGTTGCTGAAGCCTGGGGGCTATAGCCTGTTCTTAAAATAAGATAGCAATACTAATTTGTCCTCTCCCAGAAGGTTTTTCTGTGCCACGTGATACTGTTTGGTAGCATTTTACCCACAGGAGGACGTCTTTCAACATGAGTCATTCCTACTCATGCTAGTTGGTTGTCCTGCTTAGCACATCACTGGGAGGTCAGACCTTGCCCCCTGTTTGAGGGTTTCAGTAATGAGTATCTTGTGCAGACAGAAGACAGATAAAACTTGGAGCCTTCCTTCTCAAATCTTACTGCTGCCTTGTCAACCAAGGCTTTGTGATGGGATAAGTGTGTTTGAAGCAAGGAGGGATTTTTTGAGGAGTCTTGGCAATGTGACTTTTTAAATAATTTTTAAAAAATTTATTTAAACATTCACCTCATTTTTTTTTAATCACACCTCATACAGTTGTATTGAATGCGCCATCTTGTTTATGTGAATTTGGTGGAAAGATGACAGGAGTCCTTAGAAGAAGGTGCTGGAGTGGATATTGATCCTAGTCCTTTGGGAAACACTGTCCTAGAGGCACACATGTCTCTGGAGTTAGGTCTTTAGCCCTAGTGCTTTGTAGCCCTTGTTCTCTTGTCTGTATCCCCAGCCCCTCAGACTATAGGGGAGCAGGGCAGCTTGCCTCTCCCTCTCCCACTCTTCCTCCTTGTCCACCGTGCCTGCCCTCCCTTGCCACTTCTGTCCCTTCTGGATGTCACTGTGCCAGCTGCGCCTCAGCTGGGTGAGTCTTCACCGTCAAGCACCCTGCCTTGGCAAGGAGGCCTACTTAACAGACATCAGTTGCATGTAGTTTGGGGTGATCCTAGTGTCACCTGTCTGACTTTGGAGCTGGCCCTGGAAGCTGTGTTTTGGTGAACCACATCCCATCCGTCAGCTGCTTCTGTGTGATTTGCCTCCCTGTTCTGAGCAAAGACAGAAATGAAAGTTGCCATTCATTGCAGTTCTCCGCTGAGAACTCACCAGAGCATGCTGAGCAAGCCGCAGGCACCGACCATTGTGTCCCTTTGCCAGGTCGCCTGGTCCCCCCTGAAACTGTGGGGGTGCTCTGGAAGACACCCTGCCCCCGGGCATGTGTCCAGGCAGCACACTAGCTCTCTTTGGCTCTTTGAGGGCAGGAATAGAATCGTGTCGTTTTGTGTCCCAACGTATGCCACAGTTTCTAAAACACAACAGGTCTTCCAGCTGTGTTTCTGGAATTCTCCAAAGAAAAGAGGAGAGAGGCCTAAATTGAAAATGAGCTATGAGATGCTCTTCCAGGGCCAGGAGTTAGATGGTGTCAAACAGAAGATCTGCTAAGTAGGTCTCTTGCTCATTCCTGTGTATGAAATTTCTTCCTAGGGAGTACCTGATGAGCTAGAAAAATCTGATATCGTAAACACTGAAATGAACCCGCACACTTGAGGAGATTCCAGGACCCTAGTAATGACATGAGGAGAGTTACACAACAGGGAAGACCTGAGAATGTTCCCAAAGGCGGCACCTTGAAGGAGGACAAGCACAGCTTGCAGGGACAAGCAGTGGAGCAGCAGCCCCAGCAACACCCAGGGTGCCCATTTTGAAACCCAAGCTGTGTAGATCTCGGTCTCTTGCCATCTTCTCTCCCTACCCCTAAAGCTGTCCCATTTCGGGTTTGGGCTCTATTAGGGTGAAAGTGTCTATTGTTCTGCCTTTCTCATTGCCTTGCCCATTAATACTACTTGATGTTGATTTTAGGACAGATGTCAGATGGGCTTTGGGTTGCATTTGGTGGCAGCTTGCTGGGTGTCAAGGAGGAGTCTGAGGTAGAATCACAGTTGAGAGTGTGCAGCGGGGTGGGCGAGTTGGGTGGCTGGAGGAGGAGGCACTGGGAGGCAGCAGCGTGTGCACCGGGGCTTGGGATTCCCGTCCTAGGGCGGGCAGCGGCATCCTTCATCGTGTTACCTAAATAAGAATCAATTTTCCAGAGACTGGAACTCTGTAGGGTTTCAGATCATATTGCATAGTTCGGTTTGAGTTCTGTATCTTTCTGAACAGAGAGGAAGGGAGAGGTCGGTATCATAACAGTGCTCCAAACTTTTCTCTGACCTGTTGATATCTGATCTCTGATACTAAATCAGACTTCATGACTTCAGAAGGGGCAGGAGTAAAAGCCTATTTAAAAGTCCCTCCAAAAGGAAAGAAGTGAAAAGGAATATATATATATATATATATGATAGTTAAGATATTTGTACAGCTAGTTTCTCTTCATTGGAAAGAAAGGTTTGTGCTAATGTTATTTGGGCAAAATATTTTGCCTATATCTTATGCTCTGAATACTACAAAGACAAGACATAATATATTAATTATTATAACTCTTCTACTAACCTATTGTGAACTTACTTTATTGTTTTTTTCCTCCCAGTGGTTATTTCAGAGGCAGCGTGAGCTTCTGAAACTTGAGCTATGCCTGCATAGCCGAGTGGCTGGGCTGCTCTCTGGGTCGCCAGTCTTCGATCTGTGCACGGGGAGCTGGAATGTGTTGAGGAGTGCTGGTGGCTTTTTAAGGCTGAAAAATACATGCACTGACTAGGAGGTGCCATATTTTGCTTATGCATTCCGTTGTCAGCGGGGGTTTGAGTTGTACCCACCTTGTGGTTAATAGGAATAGTGTTGTAGTCATCTCTTCAAATGCACAGTCCAGTTCTTCAGGGAAGAGACCTAAAACTACCATTGCTCGATTGTTTGGGGAAAAATCACTTTGAAATTTTGAATGGGGATGGTTACACACCAGGGAACTGGTTTTTTGGGATGGTTATTTGACTCAAGCAGAAGGTCACCGTAGGGTGGGAGTTGCCGCAGAAAAGCAGGCTGAGATGTTGTCACACTTTGTTGTGACTTGGACAATTCTCCTTGGGTGACACAGATTGGTTTCAAGTGTGGTTTCCTTTTCCTTTACAGCATCAAGCTCCTAGCTGTGCAAGAACTACTTGACAAAGAGGCTCTGGAAAAGGTAAACAATTTGCCCTGCCCACCCCACTTTTACAAATAGACCAGAGTGCTGTGCATGGGGAAAGGTCTATTCTGTCACCAAGACAGTGTGGGCTGCCAAGGTGGTCACTGTGTTCCTGGCGGTTTGGAGAGTCGTGCAGAGGTTTCATGAACACTCCCCCATCTCGCTCATGTTGCACCCAGGCTGCTGGGCTCCTGAGGGCTGGGTGAGCCAGGCCTGGCCCCGAGAGCCTCCCTTTGGAGAGGGCAATTGTGCTTCTGCGCCAGCCGCAGAGACCATGTGTGCCAGGCTCTGGGCCTGCCCTTTGCTCCCTCTGCATACTGCCCGTTACTGTCAGGGGCAGGCCCAGGCTGGTTGGGGATTCCAGTCTAGTGTGAAGTGTGGGTTGGGCTTTGCAAGTGGGCTTGGCAGAACATGGGAGACCACGCCCCCATGCCACCCCACCAGCCTTCCGAGGAAAACTAGGCTGCTCCCTGGTGGTCACTCAGAGCTCTTCCTGAGAATGTAGCTCTGGGTATTAATCAGAATCCATAGTGCTGACATAGAAGCACGCGGTAAGAGAGAAGCACCCAAAAGCAGTTGTTTTTTTTTTTTAACTTAAAGTGTTTGGATTAGTGGTCAGTCCACTGGCACTAAAATGAGTAAAGTCTTTAAAGTCAGCATCGAGCAGTGATGGGAAGGGTGAGAGGGCTCTGAGCTTGGGATTTGCATTTTATGTCCTCATCCTCTTCTCCACCATAGGTGACACGAGGGGACCACTGCTGCCGACCTCAGAGGCAAAAGACAAGCCAAAGAGCTAATGCAGCAAAAGAGCTTCACAAATGCCAAAGCACTCTGCTCATATTAATTCTTAATTACTTATATTAATTCTTAATATGCATTCAGCACTTAAAGCCTTCTAGCTCAGGCTATAAAATCGATCCATGAGCAAAATGACAACATTGGATGCAGATGGTAGATTAGATAAAGATACTGTATCAAAGTGAACTTTTCTGGAAATTGATCATGTGGCTGTGACCCTGCAGAACATAGACTTGCTCTTAGGAATTATATGCAGATGTGTTCAGGAATAAAAGGACATGGGATAATGGGGCATTATTGCTTGTTCTCAAGAGATTTAGAAAAGAAAAAATAGGATATGTTTACATTAAACAGAGCCAGGGCTAGAAGAGCAAGCTTCCTTGCTCTCGACCCAGCTCATGATGCGTGTGTCTTGTTCCCCCGGCTCAATGGATGACCAAAAGAAAGCTTTGCACATTAATCCTGGTGTGCACCAGGGCCAGCTGGAGGCCAAGTTACACAGCTTCCTGCTTCCCCCTGAGCCTTCATTCACTGACTTTTTCCTGCCATGGATTTTCATTGAGTTTTCTGGGTGCTAAGCAAGTAACAAACTTTTCTGGAAAAGTCCAGAAGCCACTGGTCATCAGAAGCAGGGAGGCCAGTTGCACTGTGAGTGACACATGATCTGCTGCCTGGAGCAGTGCTGTTTTTTACGATAAGATCATCCCGTTGATACGCTGATAAGAACTGTGCTCCCTGCAGATCCTCATGACTGACGATTCTCCTTCCCCTGACACACTGGAGGGCCATTGAGATAAGACCTTGGTGAACTGAGGAGCTTGGCTACTCAGGCTTGTTGGAAATGTGATCCCAGCCCAGACCCCTCGAATCAGAACTACTTTCTATAAGACCCCAGGTGACTTCCTGTACACTAAAGTTCAAGAAGCAGAGCAAGAGGGAAAGAGCCTCAAAGAAGGGCCCAGGGACAAAACACAAGCCCCAAGGTCACTCCTCTATGATCCTCTTCCTCTAACTAGATCTCAGTTCCTGAGTTTCCAATTCCTCCTAATAATGCCATCAAGTTATTTTCTCATTGGTGGATTAATCAGAGGATTGATAATATTGGAGTCCTCATGATCCAATCATTTTCCAAGAGCCCATCAGCAACCAAGCCTTGAACACCCTGAGCCTTTTGGGCATACACTGGGCCCTGACTGAGCAGTACTTTACCTGTTAGGAGCAGAGAGCTTCTCTCCGTCAAGAAGTGCTGAGATTTTCCTGCTTTCTGCAGAACCAAGTTCACGCCTAACCTCACCCTTTTGCAGCTGTGAGAACTGACAAAAGAGCTTCCCTGGGGTTCAAGTCCCATTTCCTCATCTGTAACCCTTGTTGTCTGAGACTCCCTCCCAC